TTTTCAATCTACGACTGTTTGTGGGACACTCCTGTGCTCAATTGGCTGTCGTGTTTCGCCCACAAATATACAGTCAATTCACTTTACAGTGTGTTCTGTGAAGCGCTTTGGGACGTCCTCCTGACGTGAAAAGCGCTATATCAAATGCAAGGATTATTATTATTATAAGTGAAGTCCTCTGATGGTCCAACTCTCCCCACTCACCCCTGTGTAAGTCACGCCCCCAGTGTAAGACACGCCCCCCCAGTGTAAGACATGCCACCCCCAATGTAAGACAACCCCCCAGTGTAAGACACCCCCCCACTATAAGACTGCCTGTCCCCTCACCCACAGTATAAGATTGGCCTCCTTGCCTATGTGCGGGTGTAATTGTTAGGGATCTGTGTGTTCGGGGTCTGTGTGTGTGTGGCTGCATATGTATGTGGGGGGAACTATGTGTGTGGGCGGAGCAGTATATGTGTGGGGGGGACTGTGTATGTAGGGAGGCTGTGTGTGTGTGTGTGTGGTGGGGACTGGGTGATATTTCTGCAGCCTGTGTTGTCGATCAGGTGCTTCAAATAAAACAAACTTAATCAGCAAAAAAGCTGTTTAATGATAATAATATTCTTTGATATGATGATATTTGGAGTTTTTACATTTCCAGATTAATTGCTATTTTCCTGCCTCGTAGATCAGGAACCGGACTGCACTACAACAACAACAACAACTTGCATTTTCACAGCAACCTTCACACAGGGCAGTGTCTCGAAGCGCTTCACAGTGGCAGAGCCTGACCCTGAGCCGGGGGCAAACTCACTGGACCTGACAAGAGCATGGCTGGGGATCCAAGCTCTTACATGAATGTCTTCAGGCGTGATCTGAAAGAGGGGAGGGAGGGAAAATGGTGGAGGGATTGCAGAGAGAGTTCAAGTTTCGGTGCGTAGTGCCTGAAAGTGTGTCCGCCAATGGTGGAGAGGAGGGGATGAGGGACAATCGGGAAGGCCGGAGGCAGCTGAGCGGAGGCAGCAGGTAGTGAAGTGCGGAGAAAGCAGATTGGAGAGGTAAGGAGTTGCTGGGGGTGTTGGGATTTGTAGACGAGTGTGAGGATCTTAAAGTTGATCCACTCTGTGATAGGAAGCCAGTGGAGCCAAGCGAGTACTGGTGTGATGGGGGTATGGATTTTAGTGTGTGATAGGAAGCCAGTGGAGCCTGGGGAGGATTAATGTGATGGTAGTACAGAGTTTAGAGTGTACGAGTACACAGGAGGTGGAATTTGGGAGTAGTTGTAGTTTGTGGGTTGTGGAGCTGGGGAGACCAGCAAGGAGGATATTAAAGGTGTGGACGAGGATTTCAGCTGACGAGGATTTATCCCTGGTGTAAGCTGTGCACAGGGACAGGGTGAGATGTCTGTATTGGGATTCCCAGACACAGCCCCATATCTGGAAAATGTGTCATTTATGACATGATCAAGTGTAGATGCAGTGCTGCTCAGTGGGGGGAACATGAGCTGATCCCCTCCATGGCTAACAGATCGCTCATCTGCAGTTTGTGGGATTCAGGGAAGTCTAATACAGCAGCAATCGGTGCTTTTGGAGGGGAGAGGGAGAAAACATCCTGCGTGACTTTGTTAATGTATCACAATGTCAGTTCCAGCGCAGCATTGCAATTTAATCTGTTTTCAGGCAACGTCCGAGTTCCTGCGCAAAATATCCAGTCAAATCGAGAGGTGTTTTGCTGTAGTTATTGAGATCAGATTTTAAGTGGAATTGAGAAAGTAAACCTTTGGAGACAGTGGAACAAGAGCTCCCAGGTTCAGAGTTGCAGAGCGCAATTTCAGGACAGACAGCAGGAAATATTTATTTACCAGAGGGTTAATGAAACTGTTTGCCAGGCAGAGTATTTGAGGTCAGAATGCAGTGATGGGTAGGATGTGTATTCTGGAAAGAGGAAATTAAATGAGCTAAAGGGTCTTCGTTTTGAACAGGGAGACGGGAGAGGTGTCAGAGAGACGGGAGAGGTGTCAGAGAGAGGGGGAGAGCTGTCAGAGAGAGAGGGGGAGAGCTGTCAGAGAGAGAGGGGGAGAGGTGTCAGGGAGAGGGGGAGAGGTGTCAGGGAGAGGGGGAGAGGTGTCAGGGAGAGGGGAGAGGTGTCAGGGAGAGGGGGAGAGGTGTCAGGGAGAGGGGAGAGGTGTCAGGGAGAGGGGGAGAGGTGTCAGGGAGAGGGGGAGAGGTGTCAGGGAGAGGGGGAGAGGTGTCAGGGAGAGGGGGAGAGGTGTCAGGGAGAGGGGGAGAGGTGTCAGGGAGAGGGGGAGAGGTGTCAGGGAGAGGGGGAGAGGTGTCAGGGAGAGGGGGAGAGGTGTCAGGGAGAGGGGGAGAGGTGTCAGGGAGAGGGGGAGAGGTGTCAGGGAGAGGGGGAGAGGTGTCAGGGAGAGGGGGAGAGGTGTCAGGGAGAGGGGGAGAGGTTTCAGGGAGGGGTGGGGAGAGGTGTCAGGGAGAGAGGTAGTGGTTTCAGGGAGGGGTGGGGAGAGGAGCAAGGGAGCTTGGTGTCCACACCTCAGTGCAGGATGACTACATACTTATAGATACAGCCGCTATGTGTTTGGGGCTGAATTGGCAGGTCCTCCAGTGTGGCATGTGCTGCTCACTACACACTCCAACTGTAGCCAACACGGGATTCACTGGATGGTCCCCCTCCCCTTACACCCACCTCAGGGGGCGCAGGAGAGGAATAGGGGCAAGCTCACTGGACCTGACAAGAGCATGGCTGGGGATCCAAGCTCTTACATGAGGGGCTCAGCTTGTAACTGTATTGGAAGGGTCAAAGGTTTGGGTTTATTTCCAATGAGGAAACCCAGTACATAGTGAGTGACTGCCTTTATCGCGGGGGATTGGGCCACATTATAGAAATGGTATTACAGGATCCACCACCCACTACCTCCTCCGTGCCCCCCCTCAGGCCCGCCTCAATCTTCGTATCAAATGCCAAGTACGAGGAGGTCATGGACTTCTTTTCATCTAAAATACTTAACATCCACCAGGCAACCTCATCCACCTGCCCCTTGTCACCCACCACCACGCCCTCTCTGCCCCCCTCAGCCTCCTCATCACCTGCTCCTACCACCACACCCATCCTACATTCCTTCCTCCCCATCTCTCCCTCCTCCCTCTCACCCACCATCACTTCCATGGAACCCACCACCTGCTGCCTCAACCCCCTCCACACCAACTTACTGGTCACCCAGCTCCCCCTCCTCTGCCCACTACTGGCTGACATCATCAACCAGTCCCACTCCTCTGGATCAGTTCCTGCCTCCCTCAAAACTACTGTCATCATGCCCCTCTTGAAAAAATCCTCCCGAGATCCCTCAAACCCCAGCCATTACTGCCCTATTTCTAACCTGCCCTTCCTCTCAAAAGTTCTAGAACGCGCTGTTGCCAACCAACTTCGCGCACACCTCTCCTCCCATTCCCTCTTCAAACCCCTTCAGTCTGGTTTCCGCCCACAGTACAGAGACTGCTCTTGTGAAAGTCACAAACGACATCCTCTCTATCTGTGACCGGGGCTCCCTCTGCCTCCTTGTCCTCCTGGACCTCTCGGCCGCGTTCGACACAGTCGATCACTCATCCTCCTCCACCGCCTTTCCTCTGTCATCCACCTCAGTGGGACTGCACTCACCTGGTTCGAGTCCTACGTCACAAACCGCCAGCAGTACATCTGCACAAACAGCTTCTCCTCCTACTCTCACCCGGTCACTTGCGGGGTACCCCAAGGATCCATCCTTGGCCCCCTCCGCTTTCTGATCTACATGCTCAATCTTGGGGATGTCATCCACAGACATGGGGTACATTTCCACATGTATGCAGATGACACCCAACTCTATTTTTCCACTTCTCTTTGCAACTTCCAGTCCCCTGATGTTCTGTCAGCTGCCTGTCAGATCTCAGGGGCTGGATGAGCACTTCCTTCAACTGAACGTTGACAAGACGGAAACTATACTCTTTGGCTCTAAAATCTCAAGGCTCTCACATCCTCCACCTACTCAACCTCCCCCTAAAACTCTCCGAACCCGTACGTAACTAGGGCATCAGGTTCGACCCCCAATTATTCTTCCTCCCCCACATCCGGTCCCTCACTAGCACCGCTTTCTTTGACCTCTGACTCATCGCCCATCTCCACCAATACCTCTCCCCAAAAGCCGCTGAAACCCTGGTCCATGCCTTTGTCACCTCTCAGCTGGACTACTCTAACGCCCTCCTCACCAATCTCCCATCCACTACCATCCATAAAATCCAAATAATTCAAAACTCTGCCGCCCGCGCCTTTGGTCACCTTTCTCCCACTCCCCCCGGCTCAGCCCCGGGATCCGTTACTGTAAAGCGCTCTGAGACGCTGTCCAGAGTGGAGGGCGCTATATAAATCCAAGTTGTTGTTGCTGTTGTTGTTGTTGAGAGAGTGCAGTGTAAATTTCTAAGGCTGCATTACAGCGATACGAGGTCTAGCTATGAGGGAGGTGAGAGATATTAGCACCCTACCCATTACTGGATGGTTCTGTCTATACAATAAATAATAATAATTTGGTCACTGAATCCACGACTGTTTGTGGGACACTGCTGTGCACAATTGGCTGCCACATTTCACCAGCAAAATACACAATTAATTCACTTTTTATTATATTCTGTGAAGCGCTTTGAGGTCTCTCGAAGATGTGATAAGGCACTGTATCAAATTAAGGATTATTATTATATTATCTACTGCTCTCACATTTCCAGGATCTGGTATACATTATTAGCCCATTCCTTTCATTTCACATTTCATCTTTGAGTTGGTGATGTGTCACTGAGTAACTCCTTTCACATTTCATAACGCCTTTGCTTACGTTGTAAACATTTATGGAGTCACATGTTCATTGCTGCAACCAACTGTTATTGGTTTCAGTGAAAGTGAAAGGAATGATGAGTTATATATTTGCCGAATGCTGATTTCTTCAACTCATTGCAGCTGACTTAGAATTCTCCCATTGCATTACCAGCCAGTTGGTCATTCAGTGACCCAGCCAGTGACCCAGCCAGTGATCTCACCATCAAGCCAGACCAAAGGAAGAAGATTTGAGGTGAGATTGAAAGTTTCAGACTGGTCATATGGCAGGGAATCTAGGAATTGTCTCTGTGAACTCAGCCTAACTGTTCCCAACCACAACCTGTCACACAACTTTGTGTTCACTTGCAAACATTGGATTGTGACTCTGGTTTACTTTGCTGTCTCAGCCACTATCCTGGACTTCATGTCTATCTTGTGCAGGTATTCAAAGCTGGACTATTGCAGCTTCATATCCATGCTGCAACCGTCTGTTTTATCCCATGGGCTTCAATTTTGCTAACTAATCTATTGTGTGACATATTATCAAATGACGTCTGAGAGTCCATATACACTACATCAACTGCATTACCTTGATCAATCCTTATTAAAGAACTCAATTAAGTTTGTCAGGTACAATTTATCTTTAACAGATCCATGTTGACTGTCAGTAATTAATTATTAATTTATGATTTCTAAGTGAAAATTAATTTTGTGCCAGATTACGGTCTTTAGAAGTTTCCCTATCACTGACATTAGACTGAATGCCCGGTAGTTACAAGGTTTATCCCTCTACTTTCTTTGATCAAGGGTGTCACATTTGCAACCCTCCAGTCCTCAGGCACCATTTCCATATCCAAGGAGGATTGAAAGATTATATAATAATAATAATCCTTGCATTTGATGTAGTGCTTTTCATGTCTTTTTGACGTCTCAAAGCGCTTCACAGAATATGCTGTAAAGTGAATTGACTGTATATTTGTGGGCGAAACGCGGCAGCCAATTGCGCACTGAAGTGTCCCACAAACAGTCGTGGATTGCAAATGACCAAATTTATTATAGCTTTGGTTTGGAGGGATTATTATAGATTGTGGCCACCGCTATATCCACCCTAACTTCCTTCAGCAACCCATCCGGAATGGATGACTCTTCTATATTGAGCGCTTCTAACTTTTAAGTACCTCCTTTCTATCTATTTTTAATCTCATCCAATTTCTCTAAACCCCTCCTCATTTACTGTGACATTAACAGCATCTTCTTTTGTGAAGACAGAAGCAAAGTACTCATTTTGTACCTCAGCCATGCTCTCTGCCTCCACAAGAAGTATTTTGAACCTGACATTTATCATAAGTCTCGTTTTTCTGTGAATAATAATAATCCTTGCATTTGATATAGTGCCTTATATAGCATCTCGGAGATTTCTCAGAGTGCTTCACAGAATATAGTGTAAAGCGACTTGACTCTATATTTGTGGGAAAAACGCGGCAGCCAATTGTGCACCACAATGTCCCACAAACAGTCGTGCAATCCTATGCTACCCAACCAGACTGAAGACATTTGAAAATCACCAACAGCCTGCAGCCTCCTCACTGATTTCCCTCTACCAGCCGCGAAGAATCCTGTGATTTTTCTAAGCGCTCTGAGAAACTACCCTGCAATGGAGGGTGCTATATAAAGTGCAAGTTGTTGATGTTGATTTCTCAATATTTAATTCCCTAACTTGCTTTTTAGTATAGTTTCCTTTTTGATCTTTGTCCCAAGTAGCTGTGCTTCATTCCCCTTTTAGCTCTATTTGCGGGTGTACAGCTATCCTTAGTGAAAACAAGACAAAAACACTCAGACAGCTCTGCCATCCCCACCTTATCCACCACCTATTCCCCCACTTTTCTCCTTGGATGGCCCGGCCCCTTTTCAACAACAACAACTTGGATTTATATAGCGCCCTCCATGCCGGACGGCGTCTCAGAGTGCTTCACAGTAACGGATTCCGGGGCAGAGCCAGGGGGAGGGGAGGAAGGTGACCAAAGGCGCAGTCGAAAAGAAAGGTCTTCAGCCGAGAACTGAAAATAGGAACAGAGGGGCCAAGGCGAAGGGAGTGAGGAAGGGAGTTCCAGAGTCTCTTCTGAGCTTTCCTTTTACTTCTAATATGTTTATGAAAAATCATAAAACTCTTTCATTTAATATAGTCCAGTAGTCTTTTTTATGTCCTCTTTGCCTTCCTAATTTTTCATTTTGATGTTTTTCTGTGTCCATATCACAGATATATATTGATTATTATGAAAACATTCTGATTTCTAGGCTGATATGAAACCCTGAAGTCACCAGCAAACAGTAATGTCCATTTACCTGCTGCTGGCTGGATTTATCGAAATTGGTGGTTAATATGTAATCTTCAGTGTTCAATAATAATATTAATCCTTGCATTTGATATGACACCTTATCACATCTTCGAGTCGTCTCAAAGCGCTTCACAGAATATACTATAAAGCGAATTGACTGTATACTTTGAAGGCAAAATGCGGCTGCCAACTATGCACAGCAGTCATCCATAAATAGTTATGGATCGAGTAACCAAATTATTTTGTTTTTGAAGAAATTGTTACCCCCGGAAAAGCAATCCCCAATTGTCTAGCAACCAGGATCCTACTTACTGCTAGGTAAACAGGGGTGTGGGGTAAGGAAACTTGCCCAACATTTTGCCCAGTTCACGTACAACATACAAAGTTGACTATCGATGTTAGTCAAAGGATTATTATTTACACAGTCAACATTGGTTCTGAGGAATGACTAATCTAAATAGCCTCTGCTGATGATAGGCCAGCCAGCCTGGCTCATCGCAAGCCTCAAAAGGGCAGCCCCAACACTGGGAGTCTTTCCAATCAGCTCCCACCAAGCCAAAGCCCTAACGGGTATGGTGGTCCGAGCTGGACAAGCAGCGGGAAAGCTTGCAGACAGTGCTCACAATTGCAAACTGTGCAGTTTTAGCTGGTTAGACTCCAGCAGTTATCCCAACCACACTCTGGGATCCCCAAGCTGTCACTCTTACCAAACTGCTCCTAATACTTTCCAGATTTAGATAAGCAGGCTTCTTCTGTCTCGGGAGAGAGTGAGCATCCTGTTTAAATAAACATGTGTCAGACACCCAGCTGACCATAAAGAAATGTGTATACCCATCGCAATTAAAACTCTTAAAACTCTTTAAACCAAACTGAGAATTCCATGTATCCCTCCTACACATGGAAATTCCAGAGATGTTTATTGAAATGGAATGTAACATCTGTGGAGTCCTGCAGCTCAGTGGTTAGAGCACTCGCTTTGCAAGTGAGAGGCCTGAGTTCAATTCCAGGCAGAGGGCGAAACCTTGGGCAAGTTTCCTTACTCCACACAGAGCCTAATAATAATCCCTCCAAAACCAAAAACAATAATAAATTGGTCATTTTTCAATCCATGACTGATTGTGGGACATTGCTGTGCGCAATTGGCTGCCGCGTTTGCCCACAAATATACAGTCAATTCACTTTACAGTGTGTTCTGTGAAGCGCTTTGGGACGTCCTCCCAACGTAAAAAGCGCTATATCAAATGCAAGGATTATTATTATTATTAAGGATTATTATTATATCTTGGAATACAGAGATGTTTATCTGTCCCTGGATACACATCCTTCCCATTGATCACTGACAAATTGTTTTAAACACTAAATTCAAACTTAAATATAGAATGTGATTGACATAATGATCAGAATGACTGTGGTTATTGTCACTGAGGATCGAGTGATTGGATTGACATTCATTTTTTTCATTTCCAAAGATTATTCAGAAACATCATCAACGACTTGAAAGAGTTCACACAATGGCAGGGATTCTCAAACCAGGTAATTAATCTATTGGAATTGATGAAAATTGGAAAGTCCTGTAACTCAGTGGTTAGAGCACTTGCCTCGCAAGTGAAAGGACCTGGGTTTGATTCCTATAAAAATTAAAAATATTAAAATATGAAAAAATATTAAAAATAATCCTTTTTAAAAAAAATTATTTGGTCATACAATCCATGATTGTTTGTGGGACACTGCTGTGAGTAATTGGCTGCCATGTCTCGCTACAAGATATACAGTCAAGTCATTTTACAGTATATTTTGTTAAGTGCTTTGAGATATCTCGAAGACGTGATAAGGTGCTAAATCAAATGCAAGAGACTATTGTTATTAAAATATGAACCTATTAATATTAACCCAAACCAGGTAATTAATCTATTGGAATTGATGACAATATTAACTTTCTATTCCAATCCTGTGCCCACTGCACCGAATAAAATAACAACCACCTGCCGTCCCTCTGAATCAGGGACGGTCCTGAGCCGTCAAACACAACCCCACTGTCTGAAACCCCATCACCTTGAGCCTCTCCCCCCACCTTCACACTCACTCAAAATCCCATCTCTTCAATTGTGACTTTGATCAACACCCTCCGACTCTCCCTACGCTTCCTCCCCCCCAGTTAGAACGACAACTACTTACATTTACATACAGTCAGTGTATTTGTGAATCAGTGAATCATAGAATTTATAGACAGAAGGAGGCCATTCGATGAGTCTACACTGGTTCTCAGAGCAAGATGTTCATTCAATCCTACTTCTCTGCTTTATCTCCAAATCTCAAGCCACTCTCTTTCACATATTTGTCCACTTCCCTCTTGAAACAAGAAAAGGCCTCTGCCTCTCCCACCTTGATGAGCTGGACATTCCACAAACTATGGTATCTGTGTGTGCCTGTGTTTGTTGGGTAGGGGGTGGTGTCTATGTCCTTGTTTCAGTCAGTGTTTCTCTTTTGCTGTGTCTTTGAGTTTTCCCCACTCGCGGCTCCTGTGTAGCCACCACATTAATGCTCTGCTCCCGTCGCTGCCGAGGGGAGAACGCTTTGTTTACCCGCGAGTGGTGAGGACATTCCCTCCTGTGTGGTCACTGCATCATCCAGGATTGTGTCTGTTCACTCTGTTAGTTTCATATAATAACCAGTTATATTTTTTGTATTACTTATTTACCAGATGCAGATCTTGATGGAATGTACTGGTACGTACAGTCATAAAATTGTGGGTCAATAATTATATAGGTGTGGGTTTGTGCTACAGCAAAAAAGCCATCTATCCAACTCCTCTGTTCTTTCACCATCATTTCTAACATCTGCTCTTCATATGTTCTTTTTAAATTCACTTCCAAAATACCTCAACCAATGCTCCATCAACAGACACTGCTGGAAATTCATTCCATGTTCTGAGAATCCTTTCCCTAACTTTCCTAACTTCACTTTATCTTTTGTCCAACTCTGTCTGATTGTTGTTTCTTGTTCTATTGCCTCTCATCATCCAGTCAATACCACCCCCCCAGCCCTGGTGTGGGATTTAGACCCCAGACATCACCCTCTGGTCAGGCCTTGAATACTGCAGACAGCTCTGATCACTGTGACATAAAGGGACTGCCCTGACACTAGAGACAGTGCAGAGGAGAGCAATGTGGCTGATCCCCAGTGTTAGAGGAATGAGCTGTGAGCAATAACTAGACAAGCTCAAGCTCTGCAGTCTTGAGAGAAGACAACTCAGGGGGGATCTCATAGTGGTGTGTAACATTTTAAATGGGATTGAAAAGGTAAACCCAGATCAATACATTAGAATGCTCTAAGGCAGTAGACTTAAGGAGACAGGGCTGGAGATGTAAAGTACAACTTCAGGACAGACATCAGGAATTTGTCTTTACCCAGAGGGTAATTAACAACTGGAACACATTGTCCAGGAAGAATGGTTGAGGCCAGGACATTGGCCACATTTTTCTCCATCTCCTCAGTCACTTTTGTTGGTCAGCTGTGTGTCTGACACATGCAGAAACCCAACACCATGCTTAAGAGTATCGAAACCAAACAGAGAATTCCATGCAGCCTACCTACACGTGGAAATTCCAAAGATAGATTGGTGCTTTCCCAACTCCAGAAAGTATTAGACACAGGTTGGCAAAATCCAATGCTTGGGGCCCCCAAAGTGTGTGTTGGGATACTGTTGGAGTCTAACCAGCTAACACCACCTTACTATATATTAACCAGCTAACACACAGACTGTCTTCCAAAAGTGGAGGTATAATTTCCAGGGTACAGAAGGAGATTGTAAGAACAATATCTATAGTAGCTTAACACTGTAGGCTAAATATCACCATTAAGATAGAACAGTACCAAACATGATACAAAATATTAATCTATACTTTTCAGCAGGAGTTATATTGTCACTGCAGTAAAGATGGGACCTCACAGTGTAAATAATACTCTCTGATTAGAAAGTAAACTGGAACATTACTTTCAGGTATCTCAAAGCAACAGGGCAAGATGATAGGACAGTGTCATGGTGTGAAGGGCATGTTCCAACAGGTATCCAGACACCAACAAGTATCTTCAAGGAGGAGAAATAATGACTAGAATCAATTATCAGGAAGGTGATTGAGGCCAGGAAATGGATTCATTTAAGAAATAGCTTGTTGCGGTGATGGGAAATGTTTGGGTAGGTTTTCAGGAAAGATGAGATCAACCGTGTCAATCTCCTGGGCAGCTTCCCTCCTCTGTGTAAATCACTGAAGCTCACACTCTCAATCACTGGAGTACTGATGTCCAGTAATACAGCTCCAAACTACTTCCCTATTGGTCACATCCTGGATCCTATGCCCACCTGCATTCCCTGCCCCGTCCCCCCCATGCCCCACAGTTCCCTGCCTTGTGCCACTACATTCCCCACCCAGTACCTTTCTCCTTTCCTTACTGTGTGCCACTCCACATGACACCTGCCACTCTGCATTGCACTCACAATGAGGATCAGTTCATGTTTCAGGCCAATGATGTGTGAACGCTCCTGAGATATAATTGTATTTATAACAGGGACTCATATGAATTGGATAATAAAGCCGAGGACTTACAAAGTTTTCCAAAGAAGTTCCCTGACTGGAAAGCAAGGATGAATCAACATGTGATATTACTCCAAGAGATCGCAAATAATATTGACGAGTGTCACAAAGGTGCCACCATTGCCAATATTACAGGGTCTTCTGTAGGTGTTGTTGGAGGGGCTCTAACTATTGGAGGTCTAATTGCTGCCCCTTTCACATTGGGTACATCATTGATACTCACGGGTGTGGGAGTTGGGGTGGGTGTAGCTGGTGGTCTCACTAACATCACAGCTAGTGCAGTGGATTCTGCTTCACAATCCAATAAACAAAAAAGAGTTAATGAAATCATGGAAAAGTATAAAAAGGACAGTGAGGAAATGGCAGATTGCTTCAATAAATTCCGCAATGCAGTTGATTTCTATGAGAATTGCAGTGACAAATTGGAAAAAGAAGCTTTCATTGGTGTGGCTGAGGTCTTTGCAAAAAGCTTGGGTGTTTTTCCTGCAGTTGCTTCAGCCGTGACCAAACAGTCCTTAAGAACATTCAAGGCGGTTTCTGGCGTTCTGTCAGGACTCTTTGTTGCGTGGGATATCTACTCTATCACAGTGGATTCCATTGACCTCAGCAAAGGAGCCGAGACAGAAATGGCTAAACAGATACGAGATGTGGCTCGAAAGATAAAGGATGAGGTAATGAAGTATGAAGAGGTTTATGAAGCTTTAAGTCAAACTGTAAAGCAAATCTAGCCCAATGTGCAGGACTCGTGGCTAACTTTGACTTCAGTGCCTGTCACAAACCCCATTTGGGCAGATTGTTAGTGGATTGTATTCTTGTTGTTTATGAACCTGCCCATCTTTAAACAATATATTAAATTGGTTACTCTTTCTGTGATCTATTTCATGTATTTATTTCCAATTCTATTGACTGTTCAGTCTAACCTGATTGGATTGCCTATGTCTTGCATGTAATGCATGTCAGCTTGGCTCAGTTGGTAAAACTATCTGAGTCTGAAGGCTTGTAGGCACCGTTGAAGAGGAAGATCTTCAGGCGCGCTCTGAAGATGAGGAAGAAAGGGGCAAAGGGGAGGGATAGACGAGTGTGTTCCAGAGCTTCACAGCCCAGTGTCTGAAAGCACAGCTGGAACAGAGCACAAGTGGGACAGGCAGGAGGCTGGAGCGAGTCAAGCAGAGGCAGTGGGTAGTGGATTGGCGAGTAGGCAGCTCGGAGAGTAGGCAGCTCGGAGAGTAGGCAGCTCGGAGAGTAGGCAGCTCGGAGAGTAGGCAGCTCGGAGAGTAGGCAGCTCGGAGAGTGAGTAAGCAGCTCGGAGAGTAAGGAGGCCAGAGAGGTTGGAAGGTTGGCAGTATATATTCATGCTGTAGTCTACCCTGCACTCCAATATAAAGACTGATGATTCTGAGCGACAGCTGCCTCTCCTGTACTAGCGGATTCTGTGCTGCTCTGATTCCCCAGATGGTGCCATGGTGACAGCTCTCACCTCAACCTGTTGCACTTCTCTATTCTGAGGGGCATCTCCACAGGCATCTCCTACACCTGGGCCTGAGCTCCCATTCATGTGTGATCCAGAGAGTGAGGGGCAGGAGATGCCATGACCCTGGGGGTGGGGGTGGGTGGGGCATTGAACAGCTCAATCCAATCCTCACCTAAAGTTCACACACACTCTCACAGCTTCCAGAGTGGGTGTCAGGATTATATGTCAGCCTGGCTTACAGTAGCAATCTTGCCTACGAGTCACAAGGTTATGGGTTCAATCCATAGGTCAGGAATTTAGAAATCACACAGTCTAGACCGTGGGGTCCAAACGTTTGCCGAGGGTCAGATGCTCTATTTGAGAAATGACCATGGACCACACAAGCAACATTTTTGAGCTTCCCTCCTGAAACATAACAACATTTACACAGCACCTTTTTCACATCAGGAATACATCTCAAATGGCTTGACGCTGTTATGTTCTCACCACTCAGTGTGTAGAAACCCTTTATTTTCAGCTCAATGTTTTTAACAAATATATATTTATTTGGTATGTAAAAAATATATTAAGTTTTCCTCATCATAATAATAAAAACACACCCATGATAGAACAAAGAAAACATTCGCAAACCAAAAACATTTGAAACCCGTGACAAAGTGCAAACGGTCCCTTCCTTTTGCTCCCCAAGCAATTACACACACAATACATTCCTTTGCCTCGTGTAAAAAAAAATCCATAATCGGAAAAAACACATCTACGCCAAAATCAATATAGTGCCCCTTGTGTCAGCCAGTACTGTCTCCCACTCTCCTCAAGCGGAGGGACCAGGGTCTCCTCACTCCTCTATTCTGCCGCCTTTACTTACAGGGAGCAGTTAGACTTTGGGCTATTCCCAGCTCTGCCTTCCTTCACTGAACAAAGGCAGTTCAAAATTCCCAATCCACTGCTCCCCCCTTTATGGGGAAGGATCCCATCACATCTTGGAACACTCTCTGGTTACAGGTTGAGTGTCTTTCTCTACAATCCTTCCCTGAGCACAGGTTCCCTGTCCTGTGGGTAGTTGGCACTGATGCGCACACCCATCATGGAGCTGCCCAAGCCTCGGTCAGTCCCCATCTGGCCTTAACCTCTGCCAAACCCAGCTTCAGCGCATCCCTCGTGACATACTCCCTGACTCTCACCTGCACAAGGTCTGTAGCAGGTGTTGAAGAATACAGACATGTGATGCATTGAGATATATGTAACGGATTGGATAATCAATGCCAACTAACTATGCAAAGAAGGGATTGAAAAGAGAATAAGGCGATTGGTCAGTGAATGTGATTGGATAAGTTAATGATGGAGTGAAATGTACGAGCTTGGGCACATGCGCAAGCTGTGAAAGAAATAAAGAAGTGAGTCGGAATGCTGGCTATAAAAGAAGGAAAAGAAGAGTAGGGTGCAGTCCAAAATGGAGCAAGGAGAATCAGCAGAAGACAGAGGAAAACACATGAAAAGCTGATGAAAGCACAAATAACAAGGAACCTTGATGGAAGATTGAAAGTATGATTAACTAAAGGAATTGTGTACCATTTTCTGGACTCATGGTGATATTGTTTATTGCTGTTGATAATATTCCACTTAACATAAACACACATCAATTGAATTGTTGTTGAATAAACTTGGTTTAACAGACTTTACCTAAAAGGAATGCTGAGTGTATTTATTTATATCTAACACAGGCCTTGACCAACACCTCTCCATGCCTGAAGACCATCCGGTTTTGGCAGTCCCAAAGGGCTTCCTTCACCGAGTTGATGACCCTCCAGGCACATTCGATATCGGTCTCTCTGTGTGTTGCTGGGAAGAGGCCGCACAGCACAAGGTGCTGTGACAGCAGAATTCCTGGGACGAAACACACATCTCCATGAGGGCAGACAGAAAATCCCTCGAGGCTGTGCTGTTGATAGTACAGGTCAGCATTAAAGGACCTTGTGATCCTCTGCAGCCGTCCTGTTCTGCACACTCCGAGCCGTTCCTGTTCTTCAATTCAGAGATCACAGAGTTGCCTCTGTTCACTTTCTGGAAAAGAAACTCAAACACTTCTCGTCCTCCTCTATTGTGCGAATTCTGGAGCAAAAAATCACCTTGGAGACCTCAGAGCCCAGGAACGAGGCTTGCAGGCCTCTCACCTCCTCGAGTTCTTCCCTAACCTCTTCAACTTGCTGTTGCTGGACTGGGCTGGAGTCTGGAGTCCGGCCTTGTGAAGTGACCCCACTGCTGCTTGTGAGCGTGTCCGTGTCGGTCGCTCTCTCCTCTGTCTGTATGTGTATGTTTCTGTTTGTTAATTTGTGTGTGTTTGTTTGTCTATTTCTCTCTGTCTATCAGTATCTGTGTGTGTGTTGGTCTTTGTTTCTAGGTGTGTGTCTCTGTGTGTGTATCTCTCTCTGGGTATGTGTGTTTCTTTCTAGTTGTGTGTGTCTCTGTGTGTGTGTATCTTTCTCTTTCTAATTGTGTGTGTGTGTGTCATTCTCTCTCTCTGGATGTGTGTCTCTCAAGGTGTGTGTATCTCTCTCTCTCTGGGTTTGTGTGTCTCTCTCTGGATGTGTGTGTCTGTATCTGCGTGTGTGTCTCTCTAGCTGCATGTGTCTTTTTCGGGTTTGAGTTTCTCTCTGGGTGTGTGCGTCTCTGGGTGTGTGTGTGTCTCTCTCTGGGTGTGGTGTCTGTATCTGTGTGTGTCTCTCCCTTTCTGTGTGTCTCTGTGTGTGGCTACATCTATGTTTGTGTATGTGTCTGTATGTGTGTAAATCTGTGTTTGTGTGTCTCTCATGTTGTCTGCGTCTTTCTCGGAGGGGGATCAGGGAGGTATCTCTCTCTGTCTGTGGGTGTTGAAGACTTATTGCCCATGAAAAGTAGGAATAACAACAACAATTTACATTTGAATAGCGCCCTTCATGTCAGAAAGATGAGCCAGGGTGCTGGTCCGTCAGGGGTTTTCGACCCACTCTGAGAGTTGGGGTTAAAAATGAAGGAGAGGAGGGTAGGCGTGGTTCTAGTTGGAGCTGAATTAACTCCAAGGTGACATATTTGGCAACGTACTCCTCATCTCTAGTCTAGTTCCTGAGCCAGCTAGGTCCAGAGCACTGTTGATGAAAGCAGAGCCCATCCCAGCCTGGCTCATCAGCATCACTTGGAAGGCCAGACCAGTCACTATGGCAGGGATTCTTCCCATTAAGCTCCTGTGAACCCTGCAAGACAAACCCCAATGAGTAGGCTAGTTCTAGCTGGACAAGCAGCGGAAAAGTTTATCATACAATGGCAAACTGCAGTTTTATCTAGTTAGACTGCAGCAGTTATACAAATGCACATTCTAGTGTCTCAAAGCCTGGGCATCCCCTCAACAGTATGCATTCATCCAAGGACAGAGTGTACATTCTATCCTAATAATCAACTTTGTGATTTCAATGCGTAGGTGGGATGAAAGGAATTCTCAGTTTGGTTTGGATACTCTAAATAATAATAACCCTTGCATTTGATATTCAATACAATACAAAATTACGTTCGTATAGTGCCTTTCACGTCAGGAGGATGTACCAAGGTGCTGGACAGTCAGTGATTTGGACCCGAGCAGGGATTCGGGATCGGGGAAGGTGGAGGGCAAGGAAGGTAGTAGACTGAAGCTACGGTCTAAGAGGAAGATCATCAGATGTGCCTTGAAGGAGGCAAGGGAGGAAGCGAGGTGAAGGGAATGTGGAATAGAATTCTAAAGGATGGGGACAGAAAGGCTGAAGGCATGACCGCCGATGGTGGAGGGGGTCTGGCGGGGCACGTTGAGCAGGCCACAGCCTGCTGAGTGGATGGAGCGGACAGGTATGGGGTCAGAAGATCACTGAGGTAGGAAGGAGCAAGAGCTCTGAAGGTGAGGATGAGGATTTTGAACTCTGTGATATGGGCTTAGAAAAATGGCAAAAAAATCTTTAGGAGGGTAAAGAGAGAACATGAAAAATGACAATTGAACAATATTAAATGATACATTTTTAAAGATGCTTATTAATGTACTAGAAGTAAAAGGAAACCTCAGGAGGGGGCTGGCCACCCAGGGACAGAAGTGGTAAATAGGTTGTGGATAAGGTGAAGATGGCGGAGCTGTCTCAGTGTTTGTGTCTCAGTTTTCACTGAGGAGAGGGGTATTCCCAAAATAGAGCACAGAGGGGAATGAGGAACAGCCACTTGTGATAAATATTAAAGAAAACTTTATTTAAAAAAAAGTTAGGGAATTAAAAATTGATGAATCACAGGATTCATCCCGGTTTGTAGAGCGAAACCAGAGAGGAGATTGTGCAGACTTTTGGTAATTTTTAAGCATTTTCAGTCTGGTCGGTTGGAGGGTGAGAGACGATTGCAGGGTGGCAGAGGATTA